ACCAGGCCTCCCGATGGTCAGGGCCTGATCAACTAGGCTGTTACTGCTGGCCGCACGCAGTCCAACGTACGAGCCACAGCCCGGCTGATCCGGCACTGACTTTTGGTATCTGTCCAGCTCTCTCTTTAAGGCAGCCAGGGGTTTATTGGCAATTCCCCTAATGCTTGATGGGAGGCTGTTGAACAGTCTTGGGGCCCCCGGGCACTTTTTGGTGTTTTTCTCTTAGTGTACCAATGGCGCCCCTACTTTTTATTGGCGGCATTTTGCATCGCCCGCCCAGTCTTTTACTTTCGTAGGGGGTGATTTTCTGTGTACAGATTTGGGACCATCCTTCCAAGATTTTCCAAAATGAAGATTATGATATATCCTCCCTCCTCGTTCCAACGAGTACAAGTCAAGTGCTTCCAAACGTTCCCAGTAGTTAAGGTGCTTGACAGAACCTTTTACGTGCAGTAAAGGATCTCTGTACACTCTCTAGATCTGCGATTTCACCTGCTTTGATGGAGATGTTAATGTACAGCAGTATTCCAGCCTAGAGAGTCAAGAGATTTGAAAAGGTCATCATGGCTTGGGGGATCTCTCGTTTTGAACGTTCTCATTATCCATCCTATCATTTTCTTTGCACGTGCGATCGTGGCACTGTTGTGTTTCCCTTTAAAGTGAGATCCTCAGACATTACTACTTTCCCCGGTCCCTTACATTTATTTTTCCCTCTATTGTATGGCCGGAGTCAGTTATAACTCTGTTCTAGTTATTATCTCCTCCAGTTTTCCATAAGGGAGTAGTTGGAATTTGTCCTCATTGAACATCATATTGTTTACCCCTTGCCCACTGGAAAACTTTGTTTATAACTTCTTGAGTGTTAACCCGTCCTCAGCAGATGACGCCTCATGAGATCCTAGTATCATCCGCAAAGGATGATACGGTGCTGTGGTGTATATCTCTGTTTATGTCTGATATGAGGATGAGGAATAAGATGGGGGCGAGTACTGTGCCTTGTGGAACAGAGCTCTTCACTATGGCAGCCTCCGATTTAACTCTGTTGACCCCTACTCTTTGGGGTTTGATTTGTTAGGAAGTTGAAAATCCATCTCCCACTTTTCCCAGTTATTCCTTTAGTACGTATTTTATGGGCTATTACGCCTGATCGCATTTGTCAATCCTTTTGCAAAGTCTGTGTATATTACATCTGCACTCTGATTTTCTTCAATGCATCCAAAGGCCATATCATAGTGATCCAGTAGTTGTGAGAGGCAGGAGCGACCTGCCCTGACCCCATGTTGCCCTGGATGTGCAGATTTTGGGGAATCCAGGGGGGATTTGCAATCCTGTTCTTAGCACTCTTTCAAAGATTTTTATGATGTGGGACGTCAGAGCTATTGGTCTATAGTTCTTAGCTAATGCTTTGCTGCCACCTTTTATGGAGTGGGGCTATATCCGTTGTTTTTCAGGGCCGGGTCATACCTACTGTTAAAGCTGTGTATAATTCCACACAAGTCGATTGATCTTGTTTCTTATTCGGTTCATATTTCTCATTTGACATCGAAAAGGTTCTGACACATTGAATTATGTCAGAGAGAGAGAGAGAGAAAGAGAGTGAGAGAGAGAGAGAAGAGAGAGAGAGAGAGAGAGAGAGAGAGAGAGAGAGAGAGAGGGAGGGAGAAGAGAGAGAGAGAGAGAAGAGAGAAGGGAAAGAGGAGAAGGGAGAGGGAATTTGAGCATGTTCATTACAGGTAAAATGGACCTAAGTGTACTCACCAAAGAGGTAATAAGGACGATAATTGAATAATTCTGATCATTAAGTGGCCCTTGTTAGCAAGTGCAGTGCTAACAACCCAATAAAAGCCTAACATCTGCTGCTAACACTGTTTATAACCCAGACAACTGCAGTCTTATGTACCTTACGTCACCTAACTACTCAAGAGTGATCTAAAAACTCTCAAACAACCCCTCAAGAGTGATCTAACAACTGCCAAACAACCCCTCAAGAGTGATCTAACAACGTCAAACAACCCCTCAAGAGTGATCTAACAACTGCCAAACAACCCCTCAAGAGTGATCTAACAACTGTCAAACAACCCCTCAAGAGTGATCTAACAACTGTCAAACAACCCCTCAAGAGTGATCTAACAACTGTCAAACAACCCCTCAAGAGTGATCTAACAACTGTCAAACCCCTCAAGAGTGATCTAACAACTGTCAAACAACCCCTCAAGAGTGATCTAACAACTGTCAAACAACCCCTCAAGAGTGATCTAACAACTGCCAAACAACCCCTCAAGAGTGATCTAACAACTCATAAACCAGGCAGTTTGTTAGAGGCGGCGGCGGCAGCGGCGGCTGCGACGGCGGAGGCGACGGCAGTAGCAGCAGCAGCAGCAGCAGTAGCAGCAGCAGCAGCAGCACTAGCAGCAGCAGCAGCAGCACTAGCAGCAGCAGCAGCAGCAGCAGCAGCAGCACTAGCAGCAGCAGCAGCACTAGCAGCAGCAACAGCACTAGCAGCAGCAGCAGCAGCAGCAGCAGCAGTAGCAGCAGCAGCAGTAGCAGCAGCAGCAGCAGTAGCAGCACTAGCAGCAGCAGCAGCAGCAGTAGCAGCAGTAGCAGCAGCAGCAGCAGTAGCAGCAGCAGCAGCAGCAGTAGCAGCAGCAGCAGCAGCAGCACCAGCACTAGCAGCAGCAGCAGCAGCAGCAGCACTAGCAGCAGCAGCACTAGCAGCAGCAGCAGGAGCCAGGCACAAGTCTCGGGTGTCTGACACCAACCTTCACAATATCGACGGAGGAGACGAGTCAATTACACCGTCAAGACATTGTTTACTCTTACTTAATTTGGCTGTCTTGTTTGATTGATTGTAGCTGATGAACGTATGTAACTATGTGTATGTGTGTGTGTGTGTGTGTGGAAGGGAGTTACTAATTAGTTGTGAAATAGATGTTGAACGTTGTTCACTCTGGTAGCACTGTTGACCTCTCCTGCCTCCTGAACACGTTACTTGACAGATAAACATCACAAACTTCTACTTACATTCAGTAGACACATACCTCCTTCTTACCAGTTCTTAATCCTGTAATATTTCCTTTTCAGAGCGAGGCAGCTCCTGGCCCCCGCCTGCTGGACTAAAATGATCGTCATCACTGATTCCTGGCTTCTTGGGCCTTACTGAAGCTGTGTGGTGAGTTTGACACTTCCACCACTGCCTCATGCAAGTCATTCTACTCTTCCACCACTGCCTCGTGCAAGTCATTCTACTCTTCCACCACTGCCTCGTGCAAGTCATTCTACTCTTCCACCACTGCCTCGTGCAAGTCATTCTACTCTTCCACCACTGCCTCGTGCAAGTCATTCTACTCTTCCACCACTGCCTCGTGCAAGTCATTCTACTCTTCCACCACTGCCTCGTGCAAGTCATTCTACACTTCCACCACTGCCTCGTGCAAGTCATTCTACTCTTCCACCACTGTCTCATGCAAGTCATTCTACTCTTCCACCACTGTCTCATGCAAGTCATTCTACTCTTCCACCACTGTCTCATGCAAGTCATTCTACTCTTCCACCACTGTCTCGTGCAAGTCATTCTACTCTTCCACCACTGCCTCGTGCAAGTCATTCTACTCTTCCACCACTGTCTCATGCAAGTCATTCTACTCTTCCACCACTGTCTCATGCAAGCATTCTACTCTTTCACCACTGTTCATGCAAGTCATTCTACCTTTCCACCACTGTCTCATCAGTTTCACTTCCCATTAGAGTCTTCTCCTCCCCA